ATTGCAGATATTATGACATCCTTAACATTGAGGAAAATTCAAAAGAAGTAAAGACCATGACCTTCTGTGGTTTGCAATAAAGTTACATGTACTTCTAGAGAGCTGTAATAGCACAACATTATAAAGATGGATATGACAACATGGGACCAATATGCTGTCAGGAAAATAGCATGTACCAAACTGAAAAAGAGGTCCTCAACCCAGTCTGGGTAGACTTTAGACACAGTGGCTCAGTAAGTCCAGGAGGGTCATTCTGGAGAAAGGTGGTTGGGTCAAGTTGGGGGTGCTGATTGAGGGCCTTAAGTGGCAGGTTGAAGAATTTTGATTGGACCTGCTCTTATATCTTGAGTGAAATAAACCTGGTGGGGTATTTCTGGTAGGCCAGCTGAACTTACCTGGTGAAGGGACTGGATCAGTGTGGGAGTGAGGAGAGGGTGGAAAAGCAGAGGTGTTTTGGAAGAAGAATGTCAAGATTCTCACACCCTGTATCTAGCTCCCATCTCTTTTTTATAGCTCCCCCAATCTGGCTTTGGTGCTTTCCTTGGTCCCTTTTAATTTTCATATCAGTTTAAAAGAGAACACTCTAGAATTAATCTGCATTTTTAGCCGTTAATGGAAACATTGGTGAATATGATGATCTCTTATAACCTTTATGACACCAAGCTCATTCTCTTTTTCAGGGACATAACATTGCTTAAAAGGTACATTTACATATGCTAGTTTTGTGATTTCCTACAAAATTTCAAGGCAATACAATATTGTTCCAATTGTCTGTTCAATTTTCATGAAGGATTACATAAAATAATTATGGAAATTGGTGTAAGTTTAAAACCATTCATTTGCTCATTTTACGGGAAATGCATTACCTCCTAGGAAATTAGCACATCCACTACTGTGATGAACTGATCTCTGTGAATGCAGTGTGGTCTTGACTCAGGGAACATAATCCAGGCATTTGTTCTCCATGCTCATTACGACAATGATTGCAATTATCCTTGAGCAGAATGGAAAAGAATTATGAGTTAATCATTACCATTTGAATAATTGAGGTTTGGCAGAGATTTTCCTGAGAAGGTAGATTTGTACATTATTGAGAGTTTAGAGGACTTTTCTGGGATTTTTTTTTCAGATTTTTTTAAAGTATGATAATCCCTACATAAACAGAGAGAATATAATCAGAAAATTCATATTCAGAGGAAGGACTGTAATACAGGACTAGGGTTTCAGATAAGGAGCACCGGGTTGCTAAGGGCACATGTAGACACACACATACCATCTACATGTTAAGCTCATGTCACAGATTCTAGAAAACATAAAATATGGACTGGGGGCTCTTGTGTCATTGTGGGACAGGGACTGGTCCAGGATAGGGCACATACCAGAGGAAACATAAATTGCTAGGCTCCGAAATTAATGGCTCCGCAAGCCAGTGAGGAAACACAGCACAGTTTTCTCTACCTCCAAAAGCTCTTGATACCAGGATTTCAGCACTTCCACCGGATTCATCTGAGCTTAATTTCTATGAAGCTGTGAGGCAGTGAAGTTGAGGTTATCTTTGGGGAGTGCCATGGGTAAACCCTCCTGACATTCCTTTGCAAGGTAACCTAAAAAGAACAAAATAAGTTTTTGACCTGGTGACTCCTGGAATTCCCTGAACAAGGCAATGAAGTGCAAGATTCAGACACGGTGATTCATACCACAGTCAAAGGAAAACGCCAGAACGCACTAACACTGAATGTGAGGGGCTGAGAAGTGTACGTGGCAAACAATAGCAACTTGTAGTAGATCCCATCTTTTGAAAAGGGAGAAATGCATTTCTGTAACAATATTTTGTGTATGATAGAGGAAGAGAGCAAGTGAGGTGAGCCTGTCCCCACTGAGCAGGGGCGGAGGGGGGCGGGGAAGAGTTTAGGGATATTTGGCACACTACAGAACTCTGCCTCTTGTATTTTTAATTGGGAAGCTACAGACAGGAGCAGCACACAGAAGCATCTTTATCTGGCAATGGGAGGCTTTGCTTCATTGATGTGATTTATGATGGGAGGAGTGTTCTCACAAGGCTGATGCCTTACAAAGCACCATCATTCCCAGGGGATTCATTAATTGAAGTGCCACACAGATCTGTGGGAAGATAGAAGGTGTTGTCATCAGGGCAGGAAGAAGGATGAGATGACCTCACTTCTCGGTCTTTTTCAGTGCCCTTATTCCAAGATCTGTAAAAACCGAAGCCTTTGTCCCTTTGTATTTTTTTTTATATAGGAGCTTGGGTTATATTATTACAGAAGTCCTGCTAAATCAAGCTTTGTCAAAAACTCCTAGACTATATTTATAGGAGGCATAAACAATCCCTTAGGCGTTACACACAATTCTGGTATTAAATACTTTTCCTATAAAACTTAATGTGTTTTTCTTCTTTAAGTTGACCGATAGAATTATGCCAACAATTCCCAAGTTGTCAAAGACCATAATGATTCTGCTACAAAACTCAGCATGCTCATATTCAAGTCAGATTAACTGGACAATTATTTATTAAGTACCCACCATTTGTCAGCCTCTGAGAGAGGTGCTGAACAGACAGAACTGGGTAAGATGCAGCCTCTGTCTTGAGGGGAAAATGTCTGGGGAGGAGACTGTATTACGTGCCATGAGAATGCAAAGGAAGCAGTGACTTCGAAGATTGTTTAAAATGATCAGACTCCATGGTAGAGACTTAGAATAGAATATTAGTTTTGAATGAAAGAATGTTTTAATGATAAAAGAAATGTAACTATACTATATTCAATTTGCAGAGTATAAACAAGAAAACTTAGAATTCAATTGCTCTAATGTAACCCTTATCTATTATTTTATTCCAATCTACTTACAGATGAATAATTTCAGTTATAATCATAGGATATACATGTATAAAATTATGTCTCCTCCTCTTTTTTCACATGAACCTAATTCAATGTCACCACCTAGTCTCCTTGACAATAACTGTATTGTTATATACAATAAAGTTTATATACTCATATATTATTCATATACCAAATTTATATTTTAATACCATAAATTTCACCCTACTTACGTGTACAATTAAATGCTTTTTAGTATTTTCAGAGTTTACCACCATCACCACTAATCCCAGAACATTCCCATCACCTCAAAAAGAAATTCTGTACCTCTCAATTCCCCTCTTTCCCCTTCCTCTGGAAATCACTAATCAACCTTGCCTATTCTGGACATTTCATATAAAATGAAATTGTGTAATATGTGCTCTTTTGGGTCTGGCTTCTCTCACTTAGCATCGTTTCCAAGGTCCATCCATGTTTTAGCATGTGTCAGGACTTCATTCCTTTTTACGGCTGAATCCAGTGTACAGATATATACACTTTGTTTCCTTGTTCGTCAGTTGGTAAACATAATAGTCCTTTCCACTTTTCAGCCATTATGAATAATGCTGCTGTGAACATTCATGTACAAGTCTGTGTGTGGATATATGTTTTCAATTCTCTTGGGCACACACCTAAGAGTAGAATTGCTGGGTCATATGGTAACTCAAGTTTTTGAGGAACTGCCAAACTGTTTTTCAAAGGGGCTGCATCATTGCATAGCATTTTGATTGGTTTCCTAATCACTTATTTCACTATTGTCTCACTGAAGGACATTTAATATGCTTCCAGTTTTTCTATGTTTCATATTTTCATTTCTATAACCTTTTGTCCTTTTGAATTATATCATCATGGTATATTTCCCTTGTGGTTCTTGTTTGTACCATCATGTTTACTTTTTTTTTAAGATTTTATTTATTTGTTTGACAGAGAGACACAGAGCGAGAGAGGGAACACAAGCAGGGGGAATAGGCTCAGGTTTTCCGCTGAGCGGGGACCCCAATGCAGGGCTCAATCCCAGGACCCTGGGATCATGACCTGAGCCGAAGGCAGACGCTTAATGACTGAGTCACCCAGGCGCCCCCATCATGTTTACTTTCAACCCACCTGCATTATTTAATTTGAAGTTTCTTGTAAATAGCATGTAATTAAATAATGCTTTTCATCCACTCTGCCAATATCTGTATTTTAATTAGTGTATTTTCATCAATTATATTTAAGATAATTATTGATGTGGTAGAGCTTGTGTGTGTATCATTTAGTTGTTTGTTTTCTGCTTGTTTCCTCCACTCCTCAGTCTTGTTCCCCTTTTCTTGCCTTCCAACTTGATTTATTTATAGAGTTTTGAGTGCATTTCTTTGTATAGTTTTTGCAGTGGTTGCTCTGGGTATTACGATATACACTTATGACTTATCACAGTCTCCTGGTATCAGCATTTTACCACTTCACAGGAAACGAAGTCTCACTTCCATTTAGGTCCCTTTACCTTCCCTACTTTTAAATATCATTGTCTTGAGCATCAGATGAAATTACAATTTTGGTCTCAATCATCAAATGGGATTCATGAAAGTCATGAGGACCCTATTTATTGTATGCATCCCTAATTCTATTCTTTCCGTTGTTCTTCCTTTCTGATGCTCCAAGATGCCTTTTATCATTTCATTTCTGTTTGAGGAACTTCGATTAGGCATTCTTTTGGGGTAGGTTTGCTAGCAACACATACTTTCAGTTTTGCTTCATTTGAAAATACCACTATTTCTCCTTCAGTCCTGCAGGATAGTTTGGAGGAGTACAGAATTTGCAATTAACAGTTCTTTTCTTTCAGCACTTGAAAATGTTGTGCCATCTCTTTCTGGCCCCCGTGGTTTCTGATGAAAATCTGCTGTCATTCAAATTGTGCTCCCCTCTAAGATTGTGTCATTTTCTCTGGCTGCTTTTGATGTCTTTTTCTTTGTTTTTAGTTTTCATATTTAATTATGATGTATCTTTTGGATTTCTTTAAGTTTATCCTATTTGTGGTTCACTTAGCTTTTTGAACCTGCATGATTGTATCTTTTGCTAAATGTGAGATGTTTCCATCCGTTATTTCTTTGCATATTCTCCCGGCTCTATTCTATTTTTCTCCTTTACTTCTGGGACTTCAAATACATGAGTATTGGCACTCTTGTTATTGTCCCACAGATCACTGACGTTCATTTTTCCCCCAATCTTTCTTCTGTTATTGAGATTGCATAAACTCTATTGGTTTATTTTCAAGTTACTGATTTAATCTTCTGTCATTTCCACTGTACCATTCATTAAGTTTATTTTGGTTATTGTATTTTTCAGTTAAATAATTACCATTATTTCTTTTTCTAAAAATTGGGATATAATGCACACACCACAGTGATTTTTTTGTTAACTTTTTAAAACTCTTTTTACCTATTTCTTTGCTGAGGCTTTCTATTTTTTGTTCCAGTAGAATTTGTAATTATTTGCAGAGGCATTTTTACAATGGCTGCTTTAAAATCCTTGTCAGATAATTCCAATCTCTGGTTCATTTTGGTGGCATCATCAGTTGACTATCTTTTCTCATTCAAGTTGTGGTTTTCTTGGTTCTCGGTATGACAAGTAATTTTAGATTGTATCCTGGAATTTAGGAGGCTCTGGGTCTTATTTTAATCTTTTATTTTAGCAAGTAGTCATTCTATGTTTAGCATGCAGACCCTGGCCTGCTTTTTGGTTTGTGATTCCAGTGGCAGTTTAATTTTCAGAGTCTTTTGGTCTGGTTGGTTTACCTGGTACTGCTGGGGTTGCATATGGTCCTTGATGGTGCTGCTTTAGGGGGACCTGGTTTTCCCCTGGCACCTATAGATTGGGATAAGGAGCCTCCTGTCCACGGTGAAGAAGCTTCCTGGATCAGGCCTTTTGTAGTAGGATCCCCTTGCCTCTGCTCTCTGGCTGTCCAGTGTTCTGAGCAAGTGAGAGGAGTCTCAGGCCTTGCAGAAGAGTGCTTCCCCTGGACACTTGTCAATGGGGGAGCCCTGTATATTGCCCTTGCTGGTGGTATCAGACTCATCCTGTGTTGGTCAGTAGGACTCTGGTTCCATCTGGGATAGGAATGAGCCATGCTGGGCTCCCTTATCTTGTGAGGTTTGGAGTCAGGAAACACCAAACATGGGTCACCTTCTTCTGTTGGGTGGGAGCTTTTAAGACATTCTGCAACCATGTTTCCCTTCCAGTCTTGGGATTACCTAGCTGGTTTGTTTTCCTCTTCCCACCTTCCACAGTCCTCTTTTTGATGTCTTTTGCATTATCTTATAATCATACTTATCCAGAATGGATAATTGTACTTAGAAGGAGCAAAGAGAAATGAGCCTGCCCTCTTGTCCAGGCAAGAAGTCAGAATGCAATATTTTAAAAAATTTCTATCTGCACAACTTCCTTAGCCAAAAGATCAAGCCCTATCCTAGAATTGTTTTTTAAATCATGAGTTATAAACTTGAGTAAATTTGGCTATTCGAAAGTGGCAGTAACATAAATAGTTCTCAGGAGAGTGACTTAAAGATACTGTTTAAATTCCACAGTATATTTATGGCCTTTAGGCAGCTTCTATATGGATCCAGTATGGAGACTACAGTCACTCATCTAACAAGTATTTACTAAGGGCTCATTATGGGCCAGGTACTGTTTTAGTCCCTGGAAAGGTAGCAGTGAAAAAAAAAAAAATTAAATATCCCTGCCCTCTTGGAAGTTTACATTCTCCAAAATATGGGATGTTTTTCACTTAAAATGAATTCAAATCAACTATCAAGCTCATTGTCTAATCATCCATAGCATTAGCTTTTCAAACAGCAAACTCAACTTAAATCTACTACACAAAGACTATCACATTCCATTAGGTATCTTCAATCATTTCTGTGTGTGAGAGACGTTTAATTGTACTTGTGTAAGGAAATAGCTAAGTGAGTAGAATAACAACTATCTGAGTAAAAATGATACTCATGCTAGATTAAATTCAGAAGGCTGAAATTTGTTCAATGTCCTTATGTTCAGCCAAGCATACAAATCTGGTTGGAAATGGACATGTATGTCTTGAGGTTTCAAAGTGACATTTTCTGTTTTCCTAACATGAATCATTGTTCAGGGAAGGCTTTCTAGGAAGGCCATTTTATTAACAGAAGCTTATAAATGGAAATAGAGTGAGAAAGAAGGTGACAATGATCTTGGGTGATGGGGTTTAAACTTGGGAGACTGGGAGAGAAGCAGTATCGTGAAGAGAAATATTGAAGTTAATCGTGAGTGGAACTGATTTTTTAAAAGTAAGTTTTTAAGATTGTATTTATTTGTTTATTTATTTGAGAGAAAGAGCAGGGGGAGAAGCAGAGGGAGAGGGACAAGCAGACTTCATGCTGAGTGTGGAGCCTGACACGGGGCTCAATTCTACAACCCTGAGATCATGACCTGAGCCAAAACCAAGAGTCTGATGCTTAACTGATGGAGCCACCCAGGTGCCCCAAGAGGGACTGATTTTTAAATGGAGGATGATTTACTTGTTTTCAAATATGCTAAGTTTGATGTGACAGGAAGATACTCAAGTTAAAGATGTCCCAGCATAAACCTTCTAGAATAGGGCTTAGGAAAAATATTGGATCTGGAATTATCTGGGTATCCCAGGCAAACGAAGTTGTAGGAAAGGGTGAGACCTTAGAAAAATGGCTTGGAGAGTAAAGGGTAAAGAGAACTGAGGACTGAATCTTCAGTAATGGATGAGCTCCACCCCAGACCTCCACTCTCCACTCTCTCTCTTTAGACTCTTCAGGTGATCTCATCTGATTATAGAGCCAACTTGGCTAAATAAACATGTTCCCTACTTACACTCTTATAATTTAAACCTGCACTGATATGAATAGACATAAAGGTGCAAACAAAATAAAATATAGAGCAAATGCTTGAAGTAAACAATGGAACTGTGGTATGTACAAGCAAAGAAATGAGAACATTCCAGAGCTATGATGAAGAGTTCTACAGGAAAATTAACTTCCTATCTTCTAGTTCGGGAAAACTTCTATCTAGATTCCTATTTATAGGAAAAATAAGTTTTTGAAAGCTTTAGGAATCAGGTAGAGTGTACTTGAGGGAGAGCTGTAAGTGTTGGATGTAGTTGAAAATAAGACTCAGAAAACAAATTTGAGTATTTCAGAACCAGAAGCCAAAAAAGTTCTCTGCGCATGTTCATATTTATTGAACAAATAAATTTTAAAAGGAATAAACTCACAAGTCAAGACAAAAATAGTGAAATAGTTTGAGTCATGGTTGCAAAAGATTTTAAAGAGCATGAGTATCTTAGTGTAAAATATTCTTAGAAGTCCTAAAGAGAGAAACAGACATAGAGGCTAGGAAAATAGATTAAAAAAAAAAAAAAGTTTTAAAATTTTAGTAGCAAAGTAAGGGAATGACAAGAGAGGTAAAACGGTGCTGAAAGGTTGGCTGATATAAATTAAAGTTGAGGAACACGTCTAGGATTCTTATTGCCTTTAGTAAAATGTGCAAAGGGGCATTCCTAAATGAAGTATTACAGGCATATCAAGATATCTTGGTATGATGAATGGGGGAAGAGTGGCTGGATTGGATGTGGATCAAAAAAATAAATGAATGTCAGGATATTGATAGGATAGTTGTATGCAGCACACTTTGACATTAGAAGTTGAAAGGAAGAGTTCTAGTACAGGGAGGTTCAAAGGCTGTGTTGAAAAATTACATAATGAGTTCAACTACAGGCTATGAGAAAACTGCTGAGACCATATGACCTTTACTCAAGTTCAAAGTCCAAAGCTATTTGTAAACCAGTTTATAACTTGTGACCTAAAATAGTCATAGTTCCAAGCTGTGGACCAAATAATAAAAAGTTAGCCTTCTTTTCAATAACATAACCACCTGAGGAAAACATGCTTTAACTACTTTGTCTAAATGGGCTTAAAGTTAGATCCTTATTATGTTATCTTGGCTTATTTGGGAACCTCTTGATTCTAAATTCTGATTTTATTTTTTTTAAGATTTTATTTATTCATTTCAGAGAGAGAGAGAGAGAGCATGAGCAGGGGGAGAAGCAGAGGGAGAGATAGAAGCAGACTCCCCACCGAGCAGGGAGCCAGACCTGGGGCTCAATCCCAAGACCCAGAGATCATGACCTGAGCCGAAGGCAGATGCATAACTATCTGAGCCCCCCAGGTGCCCCTAAATTCTCATTTTAAACTGTAAAATTACCTCCCTTCCCCCCAAAAAGGCACCCAGAGCCACTTTAGTTTGGATGCATCAGTCAGTATGTGCTTGAGTTTGGGCCGACACGGCAGTTGCTTCTTCATTCTGCACTGCTGTCACTGGAATTAACCAGTTTTATGTGTCCTTAACTTCATTTCTCCATCCTCAGAAGCCTCCAGTTTAATAACTTCTGACCCGAACCATAATGAGATTGAACCAGAGGACAGACTGGGATTCTTGTTAAGGAATCCTAACCCCAACCCACAATTTTTTAAAAAGTGTTGCATAGTCCTGACTTTCACAATTACCACTCCTGATTTTGTCCCTTGAAAAGGCTCTAATCTTGAGAAGGGGAGCAAGTGGGCTGGTAGTCAGAGGTATTTTCTCACTTTTCACGGGCACTGCCCCTGGTGTGGGTCTGATTGAAGAGCCAAAATGAAACATGCAGGGTGATCTGAAGGTCAGCTGATCCCTTAGTTACAGGGCGATTCACGCATTCCCTCTGGTCACTCGGCTCTCCTGCGTCGTAAGACTGTTGAGCTCCAGATCTTTCTCGTATGATGACTATCCATCCCCTTCTCAAAAAATTTTCCAATATGATTCATCTTGTTTGTATTCATTCATCTGGCTATCTCTTGTTTGTTATTTTTGGATCCAAAAAAAGTTACCAAAAGTATGAGGCAGGGTAATAACTTAAAATTATTTGGCAAGCAATTTGAGAGAGCACCAAAAGGAATGATATAAAAAGGAGGATAAAAGATCAGTTTACTGTTAGAAATGGCAAAGATTTCATTGCATACAGTTCTTTTTAGAAGAAGAGGCTCTAGTTTCCAAAATACTGCATAAATTAACAGTAAGTCCAAACATCAGAAAATAGGATTTCTAGAACAAATGTTAGGCATATTTATTACCAATAACATAGAATAGGCATTCAACATTTTTAAGATTAATTTTCCATGTACATATAAACTAAATAAATCACACTGTTAAATATGTCTTCATTAAGGTGTGAGTTTTATGCTTGCTCCTTTTTTATTTTCAAGGGCAAGAATCATTATGCCCATGAATATATTACAATAATTAAAAAAAAAATTCAAAAAGCAATATTCTGCCTTCTAGTTAGGAAGAAAACACTCTACAGAGCTTTCCTAGGTTTGTAGTTGGTGCACTGGACTCAACATTTATTTTGTGTAACATTGCTCAATGGGGCACAGGACACTATAATTATAGCTTAATCATAGTAAAACTCTGAACCTTTTTATTAGTAAGATTCTTTCAGCAGTGAAGAGAACCTGGTGAAAGTATGCCAAAGTAATTTCAGATTGTTGTATACTAAAATTTATGAGACTTGTAATAAGGTTTGTCTTTAAACATCATACACAAAATGTAGATGTGATAACTGATATATATGCATTGGCCTACAGCTTCCCTATATCCATATTTATCTATGAGTTTTTCTGAAAAAACAGTGGTGGGGAATAATTATGTTTTTTGTTAAATTGTGGTAAAATGTATATAACATAAAACTTGTCATTTTAAGGACTGCTAAGTATACAGTTCAGTGGCATTAAGTATTTACACTGCTGTGCAACCATCACCACCATCTATCCCCACAACTTTTTCAACACCCCAAAGAGAAACTCATTAAACCCATTAAACACGAACTCCCATTACCCAGGTGCCCCAAGCCCTGGTAACGCCTAGTCTACTTTCTGCCTCTATGAACTTGATGCTTTCACATACCCCATATAAGTGGAATTATAGAAAATTTGTCCTCTTGTGTCTGGCTTATTTTACTGTTCATAATATCCTCAAGGGTCATCCATGTTGTTGCATGTGTCAGAATTTCTTTCTGTTCATGGTTGAATAATATTCCACTGGATGTATACACCACATTTTGTTTATCCATTCATCCACTGATGGACACTTCCATCGTTTCCACTTTTTGGCTATTGTGAATAATGCTGCTATGAACATTACTGTACAAATATCTGTTCAAGTCCTTACTTTCAATCCTTTTGGGTAAATACCCAGAAGTGGAATTGCTGGATCATATGGTAATTGTATGTTTAATTTTTCTTAAGGAATCATCATCTATTTTCTGCAGTGGCTGCACCATTTTATATTTCCACCAGCAGTGCACAGGGTTTCAATTTCTCCACATCAAAATGATTCTTTTAAGAATAAAAATATCATTTTTATTTTGGGATACAATCTCTGGTCTTATTTCTTCTCAATTTTCTTCTTTTTGTCACTTGCTTTTATAACTGAAATCAAAATCACAGGATTTATGATACAAGAGTCTGATTAGAAACCCTAATTCCAAGAACTCTACTGAGAGAGAAAGTGAAAGTTTAAAAAGCTAATTCACAGAACAGTCATATGAATTGGGGTCAGAGGGCAGAGATTCCTCCCTAAAATCTGAATGTCTTTCTACATCCTTAGAAGGTGATGGAAAATTTAAGTTACAAGAAGTGGAGAAGGAAGACAAAAGCAAGCTCTGATGATAGCAAACTAAAGGAAAGTTATTTACAAATGAAGAAAGGACAGTGAAGTTTCACGGTTCAGATGGAGATAGAATTAAAGATAATCAGATAATGTGTACCTACATCTTCTGTAGCTTCCAATGGAGAGGTAATCAAGAATTTAGGATTATTTTTCTGACATTTTCTTCAGACTGTTGTATAATGCTGAATGATGACAATTTGTTTTAAAATATTATATGCATTTGTTTAGATGCAATTAAGAAATGTTTAAAGGATTGGAATTAAGTAAAACATTCAATGTTTGCAACAGGCCAGAATTAGAGTCATCATTTTAGAATGAGGAATTAATCATCCACCAAAAAAATGATAGGATTCATAAAGGAATTTGTTTAATTAACATACAAAAACATAATATCTCAGGTTCACTATACTATGCCTGTCATGACACTTCACAAGATACTCATGTAGACAAACTCCAATGTTCCTAAATTTGTCAATACCATAATATTAAAAAGAGAATATTTTACATGTATATTTAGCAATTTCATATGAAAATATATTCTCCTAAAACATAATAATAATTTCTGCTTTATAAAATACAGTAATACAAATTTAGGAAAAAAACTGGCATTTTTATGATAAATCCAAATTTCTTTTTAAAGAGATAAAGGTAGTTGAGTTGAATTTCATCAAAATCAATTCAAAATAGAATTTCAGAATTACCATCTGGATATGAAGAAATAATGTGACCATCTTTCAGAGTCATTTTTAAATTATTCATATAGGATTTTGATTAGTTTAGCTACTATATGCACATTGAGACTATTTCCAAGTAGACGATAACGCTGTTTCACAGTTATCTTCTCAGGAAATCCTAGAAAAGAGAGATAATAATTTACAATACAATCATTTAAAATATTAACTTCCAGAGATAAAAGGATGATGTAACCTTCAGTAAGAACAGAGTGGTCATTCACATAAATAAGTCCCTAAGTTACTCCATGAAATTCAATTAACAAATGAGAATATGAAGCCAAAAATACAAGATTACATTGCCTACACAATGTAATATTATCATATCACATAACATATTATGTTCAGCGTACACATAAGTGCACCCATAACAACCATGAAACTCATTGAAATCTGTATTTTAAAGCACTTTAGGAAAAGTAGTGGCTACCATTATTTCACAGTTGTTTTCCTTTACTTAATAACAGCTTTATGGAGATAAAGTTCACCCTTTTAAAATGTACAATTCAGTGGTTTTTAGAAGAGTCAGAGTTTTGCATGCATCCCCACTATTTAATTCCAGAACATTTTTATTACCTCAAAAAGAAAGCTGGCCCACATCTAACATCATACTCAAAAATAAAAAGCTAAAAATTTTCCTCTAAGATCAGGAACAAGACAAGGATGCCCACTCTTGCCACTTTTATTCAACATAGTATTGGAAGTCTTACCCAGAGCAATTAGGCAAAGAAAGAGATCACAGGAATCCAAAGTGGAAAGGAAAAAGGAAAACTGTCACAATTTGCTGATGACATGATATTATATATATATAAACCCCCCCAAAGACTCCACCAAAAAAAACCTGTCAGAACTAATAAATGAATTCAGTGAAGTTTCAGGATACAAAATTAATATATAAAGATCTGTTGTGTTTCTAGACACTGACAACAAACTATCAGAAAGAGAAATTAAGAAAACAATCCCATTTACAACTCCATCAAAAAGAATAAAATACCTAGGAATAAATTTAATCAAGGAGGTAAAAGATCTGTACACTAAAAATTGTAAGGCACTGATAAAAGAAATGAAAGACACAAATGGAAAGACAGTCCGTGCTCATGGGTTGGAAGAATTATTAGTAAAATGTCCACAGTCTACATATTCAAGGCAATACCTATCAACATTCCAATGGCATTTTTGACAGAAGTGTAATACACAATCCTAGAATTCATACGGAATCACAAAGGACCCTAAATAGCCAAAGCAATCTTGTGAAAGAACAAAGCTGGAAGCTCTGCTCTGATACACAAAAATTAACTCAAAATGGATTAAAGACTAGAATGTAAGACCTGAAGCCATCAACTCCTAAAAGAAAACACAGGCAGAGGGATGCCTGGGTGGCTCAGTTGTTAAGCGTCTGCCTTCGGCTCAGGTCATGATCCCAGGGTCCTGGGATCAAGCCCCGCGTTGGGCTCCCTGCTCAGCGGGAAGCCTGCTTCTCCCTCTCCCACTCCCCCTGCTTGTGTTCCCTCTCTCGCTGTGTCTCTATCAAATAAATAAATAAAATCCTTAAAAAAAAAAAAAAAGAAAGAAAACACAGGCAGTAAAGTAAGCTCCTTGACATCAGTCTTGGCGAGAATTTTTTGGATCTGACTCCAAAAGCAAAGGCAAAAAAAAGTAAAAATAAACAAGTGGGGCTACATCAAACTAAAAAGCTTTTGCATAACAAAGCAAAGAAAATCATCAACAAAATGAAAATGCAATCTACTGAATGGGAGAAAATATTTACAAATCATATCTAATTAGGAGTTAATATGCAAAATATATTGAGGGAATATACACTGGTGCAGCCACTGTGGAAAACAGTATGGTTTCCCAACAAATTAAAAATAGAACTACCATATGATCCAGTAATTTCACTTCTGGGTATTTATGAGGTAAAAATGAAAACACTAATTTGAAAAGATATATGCACCCCATGTTCACTGCAGCATTATTTACAATAGCCAAGATATGAAAACAATCTACACACACACACACACACATACACACACACACACACACACAGGAATACTATTCAGTCATAAAAAAGAATGAAATCTTGCCATTTGCAACAATACAGATGGACCTTGAGGGCATTATACTATGTGAAGTAAGTCAGAGAAAAAAGGACAAATCTCACTTATATGTGGAATCTAAGAAGCAAAGCAACATGATGTACCAATACCCCCTCCTCTTTATAACTAAATAGTATTCTATTGCATGGATATCCCACATTTTATTTATCTATTTATCTGCTGATAGACATTGGGTTGTTTCTACTTTTTGATTATGAATGACACTGTTATAAGCATTACATATACATTTTTGTGTGGACATTTTCAGCTCTCTTGGATATATTCCTGGGGGTGAAAATGCTGATTCATACAGTAACTCCACATCTAACATTTGAGGAACTGCAAAACTGTTCTCCAAAGTAGCTGCACCATTTTATACTCGACCAGCAATGTATAAGGGACCTGATTTCTCCACATCTTTGTCAACATTGTTATTATTTGTCTTTTTGTGAAGTGGTAGCTTCTTGTGGTTTTGATTTACATTTCCCTAATAACTAATGGTGAAGACATCTTTTCATGTGCTTACTGGCCATTTGTCTATCTTCTTTGGGAAATATCTATTCAAACCTTTTGCCCATTTTTAATTGAACTATTTTTCTTTTTATTGTTGAGTTGTGAGAATTCTTTATATATTTTGGATATAAGTTTCTCACAGTTGTTTTTTATTTTCCATTTCCACAAATGTGCTTTCTCATATTGGACTTCCATTTGCTATATTGTTTTTCAAAACAAAATGGCCCACAGATACAAAATTTGCTAGGACAAAGCCTTGCAAGTAGCAACATAAAAGACTGTCCATGAAGTATATATTATAATGTTAGTTACAATTTTCATATTCAGTATCCTTTGACATAGCAATTAAATAAAGGAAAATTTATATAATAAAATGAAGGAAATAATTAAAAAGTATTAAGAAAAGCAAATTACATATTTGCTTTTCAGAAGGAAGAATTGATTATGATAAAGTTGCTTCATCAACACTTGACATTATACTTACTGCAATAAAATTAGTGATTACATAATAAAATTATATTTGCAATTGAGCAAGATCATAAAATTGCTATTATAAAGATAATATGTCTTAGGTAAGCACATTAGTCATCTAAAAAATTATTTCATTCAAATTAGAAAGAGATACAAATAGATCACAGACTTTTAGAATATTCCAGGGATGACCTTTTGTAATATTACAATTACATCACAGGTTAAGAAAGGTTTGAAAGCAAACAAGTCAGATTTGTAAAAATTATACATATGTGTGGGTGCTTGTGTATTTTATATACAGATATAACTTTTTTAAATTAAAAGGTGACTTTTTAAAAACTTAGGTACATTAAAAATAACAATAATCTTCAAAAACAAAGAAACATAGCATTAACAAGGTCAAGATAGCAGCTTTCATTCTGTAAGTGTAGCTTAGTGGCCTCTTCCAAAGCTTGCTATCTCACAAATGCATGCCACTAGCCACAAAAAGAACCAGCACAAAATGTATGAAAGGATCGATGCAAATCCAACATTGACAGTGGACAAGCAGCTCAAACATTCCAGATTCAGAGTCAATAATGCACATATGAAGGACAGTTCTGTCACAGTGCTGCTCAGTGGGGACATCAGTCAAGCCTGATTATACAAATATATCACATATTTTAAAAGAAGGCTAAGCAATTAAAAAGCCTTTCTTGTACATATTATACATATATTTTCAGAGAGCTGTGAAAAATCCTAATTTACCTATGTAAAATTTTTAAATGATGAAAAAAACTACTTATGAAGTAAAGGCTATAAAAGCAAATAAATGTTCATCATTTAAAAATAAAAGCTGGGGCACCTGGGTGGCTTAGTCAGTTAAGTGTCTGCCTTTGGCTCAGGTCATTATCTCAGGGTCCTGGGATTGACCCCTGCATCAGGCTCCCTGCTCTGCGGGGAGTCTGCTTCTCCCTCTGCCTCTGCCCCTCCCCTCTATTTGTGCTCGCTCGCTCTCTCTCTCTCTCCCTATCGTTCTCACTCTCTCTCAAATAAACAAATCTTTCAAAAAATAAAAATAAAAGCTGACATTTAAATTTTATATTGTGTGACAGATAGCGTGTAAACATTTTATATATGTTAACTCACTTAACAGTCACAACGACCCTATGAAGTTGGTGTTGTGATTACCCCCATTCTGTAGAGGTGTAAACTAAAGCAGAGGGGTTAAGTTGCTGCTAGGATTCAAACTCACTCAGTCTGACTCTGGGGTCCATGCTAAGTGTCAGTATTTCTGCAGTGACTACCACTGCTTAAAGAAATACACACTCAAAATGTAGGAATTAGTTATTAGATAGTAAATCTCTTCCCTAGTGCTATGGAAAGTACCTTTGATTGTTCATCCTAAAAGAGGAAAAAAAAAAAAATAGTAATAGACTGGGAATTAAATTCCTGAGTCCAATTCTCAGCTTTTTATTTGTTTTATGATGTTCCCACTCATTTTGTGACATAGACTAAGACAAGGGAAGTTTGTGTTTTTCCTAAATAACACTCGCCAGGATATTTGTGACTGAATGAGATCACCAAGAAAAAGGCAGAGAGTTACAAAATAAACCTGGTTGCTGTGACTACACTCAGAGAACCAAATACCAAGAGGACAGTCAAATTATACAGTCAGTTTACTCCCAACGTACAAAAGGATGTGTTTCAAAACCTCATCTGTAAATCAATTATTTAGAATTTAAAACATGATCTATTTAACCCATTATCTGCTTCAAAAATAGTACTGTATTAATATTACAACAATATTGGATTTAGAAAAATTTGGCTTTTCTGCAAACCCCCAAGTTATCAAAAATACATTTCCTGTTTGCATAGTCCTGGAAGCATGTTAGGGAGGTCTGTCTTTCCCCAATCACCACCAGCCAGGTACTGGCCACACACCTACCCCAGCCTACGAAACTGATGGCATTGGGACCACGGAGAGCACAGGCACCAGGAAGGAGAGATCGGGGATGGGGCAGGGTGCTCTACAAGGCAAAGGCCATGTGTCCAATCTCTTAATGGCAACAATCCCTAGATTTCCCCGACTGCAAAGGAGTTAGGACTGAGTCTTTCTCCCTCTGCAACTGTATCTTCATTTTTGTTCTTGAGAGTCCCTGCCTCACACTCAATAATCTTTTGTCCATTCTGGCATCTGTGCTCTGAGTCACCCTCTCTTTTCCATTAGGAAAACTTTCCTAGACCACCTCCCCACCTTCTCTTTTCTCCACTTATAGGCAGGACAAAAGATGCATAACTGATAAGTATGTGTCTTTTTTTTTTTTTTTTTAAAGATTTATTTATTTGAGAGAGCGAGAATGAAAGAGAGAGAGAGAGAGAGTACATGACGGGGGGAGGGTTAGAGGGAGAAGCAGGCTCCTTGCTGAGCAGGGAGCCCGATGCGGGACTCGATCCAGGGACTCCAGGATCATGACCTGAGCCGAAGGCAGTCGCTTAACCAACTGAGCCACCCAGGTGCCCCAGTATGTGTCTTTAAAGAAAATAAATACAAATAAGCTCACCACCGAAAAAATAAATTAATTCCTCAACCACCTTGTAATTTCCTCATAAAAAGGACAATTCTGGCATTCTTTCATAAGATCTAGTGTGGGATTTTTAGAACAGGACTTATGGAATCAAGAAAATAAAGCTGGAGACAGACATGCTATTAATAACCATCTGTGGGGAGAGGTGAGAAATTGTGGGTTTGGCCCTCCTTCCCTGAAAACCACTTGGGACCATTATTGGAGTAAAGGGAGAGAGCATTGAGGCTGAAGGGAATGGACTTAGGTTATGAACAAAAACAGAAAGAGGAGGAAGGAAAATGTCAAAAATGGCATGATCAGGAAAGGAAGAAGTTTTCTTACATCCATCTTTCTGGTCAAGGGTTTACTCAAAAAAATACATGGGTATGAGTCCCTATTGAACTCTAGGACCTTTAATAAACGAAAGCTGGGGTCTGCGTGTATCCCACATACCGAAATCTGAAGGAAATCCAAGGAGACTTGCTATTTCTTTAGGAGTGAAATATCGAAGTTTAAGCATTAACAATTTTGTTATCTTTTCTTCTCGTGACAAATTGGTAAGGGATTTGTAGATATCCTCAATCTGTAAGAAAACAGCCAAGGTAACTGATAAAGTAGAGTGCAAGTAGATTTGTTAAGATAAGATCATCTCTTGTGAGACACTTTAAAAAGGATGAACGTATAGTGTGCTATGATACCCGGTAGCAAAATGCACAGGGTAAAATGTCTCTTGCAATGAACTCTATAATAGGCTGATCAATGGCAATATAAACTGTGAAAACGAAATGTCTGAAAATGAGAAGCTTAATGTTGAAAAAATCAGGAAGCTTTGATCCCTCAATTAAATCATAAGAAATAAACAATGGCAATATGACATAAAAGAAATGCAGTGAAAGATATGAAAAAGAAACCTGACTAACCAATGAAATCAACTTCACAATGCGAACAAGTAGATCATGAAAATGTTTACTGTTTGTGATCAATTTCATCAAATTATTTTCTTAAAATGATAAAATACATTTGGTAAATATAAATTCTCAAATCCATTTGCCTCTAATAGGATTTTTACCACGGGTAAATTTTACTAATGGTAAGAGTAATTGTCATTACTCTTACTAATGGTAAGAGTAATGGTAATTTAATTCAGTATAAAAGGAGATAACATGATTTCACTTCAAAATTATTCAAAAGTATAGAATATTTTTGCAGTATATCAAGCTTCTTTTCAACTATGGTGCCATGAAGAGTTTACAATTGAAGTATTAATAAAAAGCCTTGCTAAGATGTAGATATCTTTCCCTAAAAGGCAGTTTTATAGCATGTGATCCAAAGGAATATTAAGATATTTGTGCATAATTTTAGAGAACATTAACTATTGTATGCTGCATTTCAATTTACTCCTTATGGAATAAAAAGAATACCAAAGGTGAGAATAAGAAAAGAGAAAGTGAAATAGAAAATATTCTTTGTACATAAACTCATCTAGCAACAAGAAATAAAAAGGTTTATTCTATAGTAAAGAATTATTATATATATTACATATAATATATGAGTAATATGTATATCCACTCCCAATTAAACATGTAAGATTATTTTAATATTCTCAAATTTTAAGTATTAAATAGGTTTATTTAAATTAATTTTCAAGTATTTTAGTTCTAAAGCACATACAATACCTGCACATCCTCTGTCGTCTGTAACACAGATCCTGTCCCTTCTATGTAGCTTCCATAACTGAAAGATTAACATGTGTATTATGCAGCATCTAATGTTTTTGTTAATGTGAGATTCCTTAAATACTTCTTGAATGAATTAATCAATCTACATAGTTACATCCTTCTGAAATAGTCTGAAACACATAAATATGCTTTGTTAAGTGAAAAATTACTGGGTGAAAGACATAAGATCATTCTATTTAAACTTCTCAGACACTAAACTTGGCATAGTGTTTTGAATTGTGTAAAAACCACTTTGATCCTGCATTATTAATTATCATTTCTTTGTATTAATTGTCAGTTTCTTAATGTTCATCACTAGAAAGCATGCACTTCTTAAGACTTTATATCCAAATGCTATTCAATATTGGCATCCCTGCTACATTAAACCAAATGTTATACAGGTGAAAATAAATTGCTACTATTTTTTATAATGACTGAACCATCACTTCTCCTCATCAACTGAAAATGAAAAGCCCACTCTCCAGTACTGTGACAAACATGGGCCCGCTGAACGTGCGTCTGCCTCCTACCGTGACGCAGTGTTTTCACTCCTCTTCACACAACAAAGAGGTCATTGTATAAAAAACTGTATTAAAAGTATAAAAAGCTACAGAAATACAAGGTATTAGTAATATTTCTTCCCCTAAGATCATTGTCAAGCTAGCTGTTCAACATATTATCATAATCTTTTTCCCCAAATAGATCAATTTAAAATATAAAGACACACCAGGGAAAAATACTTTTGCAAATCTGTTTTCTCATATGTGTGCGTGTGTGCCTGTTTATATTATCTACACTAAAATAGACTTTTATAGTAAGGCTTCCTTTATACCATCTTTATAATTACAAAAGAATTTCAAGGTTGTTTTTTATTACCAAACTGATAAGTCTTGTCTTATCAGACTTGGAAACAGAAAACAGCTGAGTAAAGTCTTTTAAGGCAATGGAAAGCAATAAACCAGTTGCCCTGAAAGTACAAGGGCAGAACATGACAAAATCGGAATAAATCTGGCATGGTTGTATCGGGACATAGCATGCATGAAAACTAGTGGGTGAAAAGAGAAAGCTTGAAGTTTCAAATCATACAGTTACTCATCAAATGAGGTTGAGTGGCATTAACAAAGCAGAGATAGGGATCTTTTACAAAATTTTCTGGAAAGGTCTAATTTTCCCCTTCTTTATAGGTTTAAAAAAACTGATGAAAAACATATTAACATTCAAAAATAACCCAAAAGTAACCAATAAAAGACATTATGATATACCATGAAAATGGAAAAGTTCTTTATGTACTCATATGTAATAATATTCAATTTATATTGTATAATGAAAAAAGTACATAATAACAGATACAGTATATTACCATTTACTTAAAAAGGGGGGTAAAATATACATGTATATTTAAATACACTCTCACACATAATACCTTCGGAAGATTAGACAGTAAATTGAAATCTCTGGTTGCATGTGGGCAGGAAAATTGGATGAGCAAGAGACAGACAGGGAAAGGAGTCTCACAATCTTTGTACCTTTGAATTTTGAACCACAAAAATATATTACTTATTTAAAAAACTGAATAAAATTTAAATATGCTTTAACAGCCACCAGATGATTTAACTTTATTTCTTGATATTAAAATTTAATTTCTTCTTATACATTGATCATGAGAGTGGACATAAATTTTTGAGGTCTGATGTGCCATGAAAAGAAAGGTGCTAAAAAGTAGCAATTCAGTATCTACAGAAACCATGTTCCACCACGGGTAATTAAACTCTTATGAAGGTCACCAAACAAACGGCATTGTGTTTTGTGAGCACTTTTGTGGGTTGTGCACATAATGTTCTGCCAGAAGGAATTTTCACTTGTGCATTCTATTGAACACGAAAGCAGGCAATTAAGGGCAAAAAAAAAAAAAAAAGAAATCATTCTAGCAGAAACATTTTGTAAAATCCTCCTTGTTTTGAGAAGAACTGAAAGAAACAATAGTCATAAAAACCTGGCTATTCTGAATATCCCATTCTAAGAGCTTTTTAAAACCTACCCTTTGGTAAAGCATGTGGACCTTCTGCAAGTGGGCTTAACAATGTCTAACAAAAGAGCGTATCGCAGCAATGACTTTGGCGGTAAAAAATACTGATTCACGTCAACATCATCTTCAAGAAAATCTTTTAGCATCTGCACAGAGAGATCACTGTCCTGGTGATGTTTCCGGTCAATTTCTTCTACAGTTTCAAGCTTAAAAAGAATGGCCTCTTTTCCAGAACGTTGTCTGCTCTTATCAAAGCAAATACTAGGTTCAATTTTCTTTCTTTCAATTTTATTTTCTGTATCTACTGTATTTCTTCCTGGATATTCAGATTCAATTTTGGGAAACTCCATCAGTACCTGGCATTAAGTGAAAATACACACCTGTTCAAAGCTTTATTAAAAATAAATGACAAATTAATAATGTCTAGTCAACATTATGCAAAAAATGTCTTCAGCCTTATAGAGTTGTCATTAAAAAACAGAGGAATTGTGACTTACTTGTATGTATACAAGTTACTGTAAGTTTTTCACCATATAGCTATAGTGTCATCAGGCTACAACTGATTTATTTCATGGAGTTACTGCCTGCTGTATAGGAAGTATGCTGAATATAGATACAGTACTATATTTAAAAAAGAAGTTTAGAAAGCAACATTAGTTATGGAATGAATAAGTCATGGGACTAAAAGGCACAGCATTTAAAAAAAAGAAAGAAAAGAAAGTAACATTAACATTTCCAGAAAATGTGTATTCGATCAAAGTTTGCCATACCCCTTCATTAAAAAAGAAAAACTGGAACATACCCATGATCTAAAGGAAAACTAGTAATTAAAAAAGGGAAAGCACTTTTTCCCCTGAAAGGTTATTCCTACTCAAGAGTCCCATAGGAAAACCGTTTTCCTGCAAAACATGTAACCATGCATAATGAATGCCCTATGATGTAAAAGAAAAATAGTTCCAGGAATTTTTAATGCTGATGTCTTTGTTAATATAGTTTATATATTGTTTTTGGAATTGACCATCATGGAAGGGGGGATGTATTGGTATTGTATGGCAGGGGATCCAAATGACATGACTGACCCCCTATTAGACTTTTGAGTTTTTACCTGTGACTGTTAAGGAGAGCTTCACTGAATCACTGAAACTCTGTTTTCCACAGCAATTTTGACGGAAAGATGTACAGTTGCTTGCATAATTAGAGATCCTATCTACAGCAATTGAGCATTTTATTCTAGTTTGTACTAATCACTATATTTTAATCAATTAAGGCTAAACAGCACTGACTTCAAAGAAAATGCAACCAATTTGTGTTAAAATACTGTTAAGCAATTGTTAAGATAGTATAACTGAATTTTATCAAAAATAATCAATGGCTTCTACTGGGGGGAAAATGACAGACACAAAATAGTCAATGGTCAAAAGGGAAATGAGAGGGAGAAAGAAGGATAACAGCACTGATGTTAGTCTTTTTTAACTTTTAACTTATATTTTTTTCTAATAATGAAAGAGAAGTTTTTTTTGTCTTGTTTAAAACAATAAAAACAGCAACAGGAGAGGAAAAAGCCCTAGGAAATAGACTTAGGTCATGGTCTATATAATAAGCTCAGTAGGAAACATATAAGCTTCCACAAAGTAGTTCTTGAAATAAATTAGCCGACTGAGATATACTTACAATATAATAATAATAATAATAATAATAATAATAATAATAATAACAACAACAACAATAATACCTGACCAGGGACTTGAAAAGGTAATGGTTCTGACTGAAGCTTTGCAATAAGGAAATACCGGAGCCTTGAATTTGGAATGCCAAGCTGGAGTAAAGCAGAGCAGTTAGTTAATATAGGAAGTTAAAGAGATCTATATCAACTGTTGCACCTAACAAAAAACTCATACAGGGATGCATTTAGTTTCTGCCAGAAAAAATTCTGTTATTGATATGTGGAAGACTTTTTTGTAGCAAATTCTTAAACCTTTTAAATTGGTGCTTTGTACCTTTATTTGAATGAACAGAGATTGAATCTGATGAGTCATATGTCTTTGAGTCACTTTCATTTTCTATTTCCCAGATAAGAAGTTATATAGACATTCTCACATTCATTATTAATAATAACCATAAAAAATAAAATTCAAATATAGCTATTGGCTATTTATTGCCTCACTTTATTAAAAAAGGAGGATGCACTAAATTTTGAAAGTCAGAAGGCAATAAATATGAAATAAACTTAATGAGATCAGACATAATGCCAATTTCCATGGCACATATACATCTAATTTTTGAAACAGGTTTTCTTTTAATTTCAGGGCAAATAACTGTATAATAGGCTAAAGATAGTAAGAGGCTAACAAACACAATGATAAAAGAAAAAATAGTGAAACTTGTAATATAAAAGATCTACCAAATATCATAACCACTTACTTCAATTTCACATTCATGAAATAGAAGCAATGTTTGCATTTTATCTTATTTTATTTTAATTCCAGTAGAGTTAACATACAGTGTTATGTTAGTTTCAGTTATTTGTTTATTTAGTTATTTGTCACTTACATACAATACCCAGTGCTCATCACAAGGGCACTCCTTAAGCCCCATCCCCTGTTTAACCCATCCCCCACCCCACCCCCCGTAACTATCAGTTTGTTCTCTATAGTTCTTGATTTGTCTTTTTTTCTCCTTTGCTCATCTGTTTTGTTTCTTAAACTCCACATATGAGTAAAATCATACAATTTTTGTCTTTCTCTGGCTGACCTATTTTGCTTAGCATTATACTCTCTAGCTCCATCCACGTCATTGCAAATAGCAAGATTTCATAGTGTTTGCATTTTTAATGGTATGTCCCAAAAAAAACTAATTAGAAAACTATCATATGTTCATTTTGTTTTCTATTTTGGATGATTTTGAAGCATTACCAAACTACAGAACACCTGATTTGGAAATACCAAAAGTCACAGATTTTCAAAACACATTATCCTTTATTTTCTGTGTGAAAAGAAATTTATATTCTCAGGACCCCTGGGTGGCACAGTCGGTTAAGCATCTACCTTCGACTCAGGTCATGATCCCAGGGTCCCAGCCCCACGTCAGGCTCCCTGCTCACTGGGGAGCCTGCTTCTCCCTCTGCCTGCCCTTCCCCCTGCTTGTGCTCTCTCTCTCTGTCAAATAAATAAATAAAAGCTTTAAAAAAAAAAACAGAAAGAAAAGTATATTCTCTCTTCAAGCTATGTAATATTTCCCATAAAATATGTGTAAATAAATCTATATGCCTGTACAATATTCTTTAGAAAGTAAGACCCATGCCTGAACTAATTTCAAGATTTAAGTATAATATTATTCAAAACAGATCTATTCTTTTTATTGAGTCAAATTCCCTTTAGGAAAATTTATAGGAATGTTGATAATTGTGGTACCTACAGAGGTTGGAGATAATAGAAATTCTTGGTACTGAAAACCGCAATTTTCTAATGTTTGTATTAACAGGTCTCTGAAAAGAAAAATTAAGAGAAAAAAGAAAAACTTTCACCCTACGGTTGGAAATGGGGTTCTTATATAAAAAAATTATACATAAACTTCATTTTATATGAAAACTGTACCTCCACCGAAGTTGTTTAGAAAGTGAATGATCCTAGGTCATAATTATTAAGTCCAGTAGTTGAGAAATTGCATTTCTCAAAAAAAGATAGAGATGATTTCTATTATAAATAAATAAATAAAGCTGCCAGATAATTTATCCCAACTGGGGCTATATTCTATCCAGAGTTGGAATCACTAGTCTACTGATGATAAATCTGCTATTGGGATGAACTCTATCTGTAGCAAATCAGATGGGGGAGCACTGATCAGACAGCAGCCAGTTCAAGGACACGGATACTTTCTGGCTGGGCTACCATCTGAAAGGGCTCTGATCCAGGGCTTACTTCTCCTAACTGCAGGACAGAAAATGCTTATCAAGAGGAACATTTCTTACTGAGAATACTCCTACTTCTAAAGAAATAGGCAACAATGTAAGCAGCTAAAATTGAGGAATACCATTCTCATTAAAATATGTGCTCATTCTGCAAAAATTCAAACATATCAAAATGGGAGAGAGTCAGGTGAACCTAACTTTGTGAAACTTTATATTATTAATTAATCAAAATCAATATTAATGAATAAAATATATAATATATATAAAATATCAGGATGTATGGGTTTATTTTTAAGATCTTTATTTCCAAATGGCTCTTACAATATACCAAGTCTAAGATGAACACATCTTATATATTTTACCTTGTAGAAGATACTTCAAAGCCTTTAACATTTTCTAAAAGAATATATTTCGGTAATCTTTGTAATCTAAAACAAAACAGAAACAAATGGAATTCTAAACATGTCATTACTAAGAAGTAAGAAGTAAAGAAAATCCTTACTTGTGGGAGATTTGAGGTAAATAATTTTCCGAACTCTCTCTTTTTACGAAAGGACTTTATAGAGGATAGAGACAACTTATATTTTATTCATTTTCCCCATAAAAATGGCATAGCTAATGAAGTTAATATTTGAAATGTTAATTTCCATTGAACTTTATCAGGAAACATGGGTTCACACAGAGGCTCTGAACTGCACAACTCAAAGGGCTGCCATTTATATAGAATGGCAGCTTCTAGGGTTAGCACAAGTTTCCAGGCCTTGGGCAACAGCATTCACTAACATTAGCATCATGAATACTGTAAGGAGAGGCAGTAGAACTTAGCTATTAGACTGTAATTCCCTGTCACTCACTATAGTGGCAACCGCGGAATGGCAAACATTTGCAGTTATTCTATAAGTCATGGCAGAGGGAGATAAATGACATGCACAGTATCTGAAAGCTGCATGTATAAGCTGCTAATCGCTATAAAATGACAAATATTACATTCTTCCAGATCCAAAGTTTTAAATTTAAGGTAAGCTTGTACAAAAAATCTAAGTTTTTACCTTGGGAGAATATCTAGAACATATAAGAGGCTATTCGTCCTTGGATCAGTCACATCACCTTGCAGGCCAATTCTAAAGGATAAAAAAGGTACAAATAAAATTCACCAAGAATCTTCCTTACAGAAAGATACCAAATCACTTTTAAAACATCAAAACTGAGAGAAGTGAAATTAGTTGGTCTTCACAAAAAATATGATCATCTTTGTTGCTATAGAGAACAAAATGCATTTATTCACTTAATAAAAATGAAAAAAGCCTTGCCTATCTAATAAATATGCTTATTATAAAACAATATGCCAAATGACTTACATGAGGCAAAGAAGAGAACAAAGAAGAACAAATAGTCAGTAGAGACTAAAATCAATTACTCTCTTAAAATCACTTTGTTTAGGAAAGACACACAAACACACATACACACAATTGGTTGATGATACCTTTTGCTCTGTCCCAGATGAGACAACAAAAGTTCAGATGAATGAGCTGGTTGGGTAGGGTGGCAACACAGAGTAATGCACTGATAACTAATCACCATCTAAGCAGACCATAGTAGGTAAGACTAAGACAATTTTGTCCAATGTAAATAGTAGAGACTTAACCTGAATGCTTGATTCTACAAGCAGGAGTTACAACTTGGTTAGACTAACTAGGTCAGAACAGGACATGTAAACAGGCAGTATTTCAGTATTTGGACTAGCAATTAGATCTTACAAGTAAGATTCAATGTGATCAAGAATCAAGCAGAAATGAAGACTTGGATTGGGTCTGGGTAGCAGGAACAGAGGACCAGGGTTTAAGACTTGGGTACTTACTAGCTTCATTGCCTCAGATGAGTTACTTGACATCACTTGTCAGTTCCCTCATACCTTCCAGCAGGGCCAGAACCATCTGTGGATCTGAGGCTCAGATAGACACTTAGAGTGGACTTGAAGAGATACCTCAGAAATCTTGGGTTCTTCTCACTGTGTCCCTTTCCTCTCGGCGTTGCAATGATGACAGTATTACAGAATCAGTTACTGCTGCCATCAGCAGCTGGAGTTGGGCTGCTGGTAGTAGGGAAGACACAGCATGCCCCGCGCAGTACTGGATGAGGCTACACGGTGCTGGGGCTGCATTCTGTTCTGTACGTCCTACTTACTGTAGTTAAACAGGCCGTATGCTTGCATATATTTGGAGGCATCTTCACGTGGAATGCTCTCTGCTTTCAGACACAGTTCAGATACTGCCTCTCAAAGAACTCCTGTGTCCTGGCATGCAGCAAGCCACTTTCTCCTCTGTGCTCTCATGGCACTTCCAGCATTCATTTATTATATAGCTTATATCACATTATATGATAATTACTTGTCAGTCATTCCCTTAAACTATAAGCTCCTTGAGGATGGGAACTACAGTATCAAAAGCAATGCCTGGCTTATAAGTGCACAATAAATCCTAGGGGAATTAATTTCCTAGAGAGTTGTTTAAATAAAGCAAAACTTAGATGGAAATTAAGCATGAGAATATTCATTTAAATTAGAATATTTATTACATGTGATATCCCACTTAAAATCATCTTATACATTTAAGTAGGAAGGTATAAAATAATTGATAAATCCTGGTTCTGACATTTTCTAATTGTATGGCCTTTAAAAAGTTACTTAATCTTTCTATGCCTCAGATTCTCACCTATAAAATGTGATAATATTAACACCTATCCCATAGGCTTGTTAAATTAAATAGCATACTCCATGTAAGACAGAGGATTGTTACGATTATTTAAAATAATTAAAAATATCTAGGGGCGCCTGGGTGGCTCAGTTGGTTAAACGACTGCCTTCGGCTCAGGTCATGATCCTGGAGTCCCTGGATCGAGTCCCACATCGGGCTCCCTGC